CTCCTGGCCTCCCAAGCAAGGGTCTGAGGCCTGGCCCAGTGACTGGGAAGAAGGGCATGGAAGCTACAGGGGCTTAACCCCCCCACCAGCCTTGGCCATCGGAGCTACAACTGAAAAGGGGGGGAGAAGCAGCAGCAGCAGAGGAGCCCCCGAAACCCTCAGCCCTAAAGGAAGAGGAGGAGCGAGGAAGGGGGGGACAAGATGGGTCTCCAGTGAGTGGTGAAGGCAGTGGAAGCTGCTGCAGCAGCCACACTCGCCATTGTTACCAACAGTTTGTAAGAGCCAAGCTTCCTGTCACCCTCCTGGCTCTCGCTGTACTCACTCATCAGCAGGCATATCCCACTCCTCTCTTTTGGGGCAGCCATCCATCCATCCATCCATCCATTGCTAGAGGCTCCAACGCAAGCCTTGTCAGCTTCCTTTGGTGACTGTGAAACAGGGACTAAGAGGAGACCCGCCACAGAGATCCAGGACTGATCCTTCCTGCCTCCCCTTTTTCCTGCATTATGGGGATTAGGAGTGAGGAAATCCAACTTGGGTTTCCCTCCCTCCCTCCCTCCCTCTTGGCCATCATTTGGACTTCTGAAGCATGGCTGATCAGAGCTAGCAGCTAAAGTCGGTGGATTGGGAATAGGCTTCCCAGGGTGAAATGAAGTCACTTTCACTGCTAGAATCTCCCTCGCTTTATGTAGCAGCCCAGGCTGGCATGCAAATGATTGAATTGGGGAGGGGGTCACCTTGGTTGGGGGGCTCAACCCAGAGATCACGCTGGTGATCATTGGCTGCTTTGCACTGGAGATGACGTGTTGGAGCAGGAAGTGAAGCAAGTCCTCTCCAGAAGGAAGGGAGGGAGGGGGCTAGAAGCAGGCATTTCACTGTGGGGGCTACAGGCAATAGGGTTCTAAAACCATAAAAGCGGGGATTTAATGGGGGGCCCTCCAAAAAATTCCTGGGTCCAGGGCTGCTTATCATCCTGCATGAATTCCATCACCTCATTTTGCTACATGTCTAGAGCAGGGATAGAGTTGTCAGCCAGTGGTGGGGTCCTCATTGGTGAAGTAATGATGTTACCAGTGCCGTGCTGATATCACTCCCCATGCTGCTGGAAGTGACATCAGTGCAAAAACAGGGATAGTTTGGCATGTGCGCAAAACTCTATGATTTAACCAGAACATCCCCCAGCGATGCACTGATGGCACTTCCAGCACATGGGGAGCAACGTCAGCACATTGGGATGCTGCCAATGTTCCCTTACTTCCTGCCATCTCCCCCTCACCAGCCAGCTTAGCAGCAGCAGGGAACCACCTGCTGGCAGTGAGGGACCCCCTGCCTCCACAAGTGAATGGCAGCCCTAAACAAGAACATTTGGTAGAGTAGTGAGAACTGGGAAAATAAAAGTTGCTTTGATTTCCAAAATACCAAATGCTTTTTTTCTCTAGGGCAAAATTAGTTCAAGTACCATGTTAACTTGGTAAGATATCCTTTAATAATTAAAAAAAACTTGAATAACCAGAAGGAAACCATATTAATTCACTCCTGTGTATTATTTGGCTCTGCTGTGGTTTGCTTGTTCTCTTCTACGTAAGCAGGACATTTTCCGTCATAGACAAAAGAGGAGGTCATTGTATGCATGGAGCTTTGGACATTACTGTAGTATTTAAAATTGGATGTGAACAGCAAGCAAGATTTTCCCTTGATATGTTTGGGTGGATATGAAAGACAGAAACAATGTCACTTTGCTTTGTCATGGTTGGCCATTCTTTTTTCTTTTTTAAGAAGCTTGTTAAAACTTAGTACGTAATTTACCTTTTGCAAAATATTCACTCAGAATATGACTAGTGGGCAAAAATGTTCGGGAACTTGTAGAATGAAAGGCTAGAACACAGCAGTATATTGCAGCAGTGCTCTGAAATTTTAGTCTTTCCCCATCAACAAACTTAACGTTACATAATCCTCCTACACAGAATGCAGAAGGTACTTTTGGACTCATTAAATATTTGACTGAAGCAGTAAGGCAATTTTTTTCATTCTCATCACTCAAAACATATTAGTTGCACCCATTTTTTCTTTCATTTTTAGCCAGTATGAAGTAAATGAATTGTTCAGCTTCATTTGTCCCTAAGCATAAAACCTCTCCTATAGTTTGAAATTCAGTTTGCTAATAAACAAAACACTTCTATCCCCAGACAAGAAAACCTGCACAGACAGGCAAATATTTCATTCATTTGATCTTCTCTTCAATTATTTTTTTGTATTTCTATAAAGAGTATGAATAAACGAATGTGTAAATTTAATGTTTCTGGGGAAATACACTTTATTAGAATACAACAGTAATTTATTAATGAGGTGAGTGACCCTTGAGCTCTGTAGGTGTGGGCTACAGTGATCCACTTTGAAAGTAAAGGCAGGCCTAGATCCAATTGAATCAAAGGCTCATCAAACTAGGGGAAACTATATTTTTAATCACTTCCACCTTAGAATCCAAGTGTTTGGGGAGTTGATCCAGATCCTGTAGTAGTCAACAGATGCCTGAACACAAAGCCAGGGTAAATTTCCAGATGTCTGTTTTAAAAAGCTTCTATCTGGAATGAGCTTAATACAGATATTATTTCAGCTGAGGCTCATCTTTCCATAAAACCAGGTAAGGTAGCAGGGCCACAGAACTGGGTTGACCCATGATTATACCATTGTCAATGAAATGTGTCATGAATATTTGTATAATTATGGCTGTTACTGAAATAAAAAAGAAATATGACCAAGTGTGGAGTTAAATGCAGCTGCTTTTCATGGGGATTTTGAGTGGAGTATCATTTATGGGAGGGTCTTAACCCTTTCCCCACCTACTGTTGTCTGCTCCAAACCATCAGCAAACTGTTTTATTCTAACAGAGGTCTAAACATACATCTGCTCACATACAGAGACAGGGGAGCGACTTAGAATGGATAAAAGGTGGCCTTTCCACCATTACCAGTACATTCAAATTCTTCTTATGAAGCTGCTTTTTCCTATGAAAAGTAGCTTACGTATTAAAGTTGTTTCAGAGCCAGATTTTCAGTAGTTGCTCAAAACTACAAAACTGTCACAAGGACTTCCACACATAACTTTAAGTATTTAGGGGAGAGCTTATCTCTTAATGTTGAAAATATCATTATTAGATTGGATACATTGTTGTCAGTATTTTTGACTAGTTTGGTTGTTGCATTTGGAGCTGGCTCCGGTTTTCAGAATCTTCCACATCAGAGAAAAATGGTTCTTGAGTTTCAGATCAATGCTGTGAAGAAGAAAAGTACTGTCGTTTTGGTTAGATTTGCATTCATTATGCATACATATTGTTATTGTACTCATTGTACGGCTGCTTTAAATAGTGGAAAACTGAAAATAAGTCTTCAGATATTAAAAGGAAAGAAAGTTTCATAGCCATATTTTAGACCCTAATTTAATATTTCACCTTCATAACACTTGTATTGGCACAATGTTGTATGAGTTCATTTTAATTAAATTATTGATGTCTTTATAAAATATCTGCATTTTCCCCAAAAAGCTTTTTAATTGCATTCATTTTAAGTGGAGTATTAGGACAATTTGAGTATTAAAAATGATCTTGTCTGGTCCCTAGATTCAATAAAAGTAGTGGGTTTTATTCAATTCATTTTTATTTATCTTTTTATTGCATTGGCAGGTATAAATGACTTTAGCTATCTACATACAAATTGTTTTGAGCTATCTATATATGTCGGCTGTGATAAATATCCTCATGAAAGTGAATTACCAGAAGAGTGGGAAAACAACCGAGAATCCCTCATTGTTTTCATGGAGCAGGTATGAAATCGAACACTTTGCCTGTATGAATCTATCTATGACAAATTCCTTCTCTTTAACCTGGGTGGTTTAGGTTTGGTTACTGGCCCTTCATTGTTCTCCAATCCTGGCCAAATGAGATTGTCTTAGAAAACGAAGTCTTGGGAAAGTAACTAGAAGTTTAGTCAGAACTGGAAACTAGCAGAGACCTGAGAGCCAACCTGACACACACTCATTTAACTGTAGCCAGTTATGAGTCAGGCATAAAGAAGCTCAGCAAGGAACCCTGACCAAATAGAAGTATTTGCACCAGTTCTGAAAAAACACACAACATACATCCAGCAGTCCATACTGCAGGCCCATAGCCAGAATTTTGTGGCTTGTGGGGCAAATTTTTTTTCTGGTGGGACTGTGCAGTTCTTAGTGCAGAAAGGAAAGTCATTTAGCCAATAGAAAGCTGTTACCAGGATAGAACTCATAACTGCAAGCTGTTAACCACTTTAGATGCCAATTCTCAGCTGCTGCAAGTTAATTACTTCTGCCAACCTAAGCAACAATTCTTATAACAAGCCAGCAGATGGGGGTGATGACTTCTGTACTCAAGGAAGCTAATACTTAGGGAGAAAAACTCTTTTAAATGAGACCAATTTCTTGACACAGAGTTAGAAGGGTTCCAAGAGGTCACCTACTCTAACCCCCTTGTTCAGTGCAGGAATTAGTCAACTACAGCACCCCACTCTGCTTAAAGGAGTGTACACCTTTAAAAATGTTTTAAAATAATTGAAAAAAACATTTGCAGGAAAAAAAATTGTGGGGCTGTGCCTTTAAGATAGGGGCGGAGCCCTCAAGAGCCCCATCATAACTATGGACCTGCCATACTACATGGCAAACATCTTCAAAAAAAATTTTTTTTTTTGCTGGCCCTGACCTGGATACCCGGAAGCTAAGCAGGGCTAACCCTGGCAAGTATTTGGATGGGAGACCTCCAGAGAATACCAAGGCCAGGAGGCCAGAGGCAGGCCATCAAACCACTTCTCCTCCATGCCCCAGGAGAAACTGCCAGAGGTCACCATAACTTCTAGGCATGGGCACACAAACACAAATGCAAAAATATCAATACAGTACAATAAAAAATGTTTCATGCTGATGCCAAGTTCTATGATAACAGTCTGTTTTGATCATGGGCATCCGGAGCATCTTTCCTAGGCTGCTTCCACACAGGAATGATTCGCCACAGAGGCATTCATAGTGGTAGTGGAGTGGGTGTATGATGGTATTTCCTACAGTTTCCTTACCTCAGTTCCCTCTGTACCAACAGGAACCCTTTACAGTCTTTCTTTTTTAAAATGGTAACCTTTCTTGGATGCTTAAGTCTGGGGGGGGGGACTGGGTCCAGGAGACATTAAAGCGTTCTTGAAAGGGGGAGTTACCAGAGGCACACTGGAATAAACGGCCTTGGAAAGGGCCCCACCTGTGACCGTGGCCCTGCTCTCCAAAAGAGAGAGGGAGGCAGAAAGGACTAGCCTGACTACCCAGCCAGCCAGCAACCACACAGAGTTTGGCCAGGTACTGCCTTCCCCATGCTGTGTGGTTCTTAGCTGGGTGTGCCTTCCCTGTGAGCCACAGTGCTCAGCTGGGTGGCACCCTTTTCACCACTGGGCTGGCCTAGCCTACATGGGCTAATCCACCCCTGCCTTGAAACAGGTGCCGCCGTGTGTGCATTCCTAAAGAAATCTATTCTGAATCACCAATTCCCAAGGCAACGTTTGTGGGGAAAACTCAAAGCAACATCAATGGATGTTTATTATTTCTGATTCAATAGCTGTATGATTGTGCTACAGCTCAGATTAAGTTTGGACAAAGGGGACAGCTAACCAAATCAATTGTCCTCAGTAAAGGCGTTAAACAGGGCTGTATCTTGGCCCCAGTTCTTTTCAACCTTTATATAAATGGTATGGTTCAATTTCTCACTAAAGATTAATGTCAGCCGCCATATCTCGCTAACTTCTAATTATCTACATTCCTTTATGCTGATAACAACAGCTGTCCTATCTAGGTTGTATCTCAGTCTCCTTAAACTTTTAAAGCTGTTTGCTTGTTAGTGCCATATGGAGGGATTAACCAAAGGTGTTGCTTTTTAGAGGAAGCGGTGCTAAGAAACACTATAGATGGCCTATATTAGATCAGGAATTTAAGCAGGTTGACACTTTTAGTTATCTTGGTGTTACCTTTCAATCAAACCTGTCCTGGAAGGCACATTTAGCAGCTGCTGTCAGACTGGCAAACAACTCTGCCAGTGCTATTACTCAGTTCTTTTTCAGCTCTGGCTCTCCATGTATTACTGCTGCCCTCACCACTTTTAAGGCTAAAGTTGCTGCTCAATTATTATATGAAGCTGCAATTTGGACTGAAATAGTTAATGAAGATTTGGATAACCTATTGCTGGAATTTCTACAATCGATCTCTGGAGTCCCTAAATGTGTGTTGGGAGTTCCACTATGGGCTGAATTCAGCCTGAAATCCCTCAAAGGTCAAGCTTGGATCAAAGCTCTCTAATGGAAGCTCAAAATTTTTAAGACCTACTTCCTCTGAGGGACTCCTGTATTTGGTAAAACAGTATAAATATTAGACTGCCTGGGACAAATTGCTGGACTCCAAACTACATTATCACAAGATATCTCCAAATATGATCTATTAGTGGAACATCAAAGAACTTTTCAATACAGTGGAAGAATGCATTGAGAAGCGTGATTATTTAAGCACTACTCCAGAATAGGGATAGGCATTTATGGGCTCACAAACTAAAGTTTGTGGTGTATTTTGGCCGTTTCATGGTTCATGAACTGAAGTTCCTGTCAGGTTGACTGGCACAAACTTTCCTCAAACTTTCGTGAAGGTTTGTGCCCCTTTATGAATGGATACATTTCCAGACAGACAGTCTCCACTCAAACAAAATGTTTACCAAACTTCAAAGCAACAGGGGCATGGAATTTTCCAGTCTGGTTTCAAACTAGTCATGTCAGTTTCAAGACAGTCCCCCACCCTTTGCCAGGCTTCCTTTGTGTTCCCTTTTTCTTGCACAGAGCTTGCAAACTCCCACCCCACTTGCTTGGTTTTGTGACTCTGTGTTTTGAGATCAGTCCTTTTACACTTGTAATGGGCTCTGGGTTCTGCTGGGTATTCTGCACATTGTAACTGGTTGTGCTTGGCTTGCAAAAACCCTCCCCCTTGCTTGGATTTCTTGTCACTTTGCTTTGAAATCAGTCCTTCTAAACTTGAAGTGCCATATTGGCCCTGGGGTCTGCCAGGCATTCTGTACACTGAACTGGTTCTGCTGGGCTTGCAATCCCCCCATCCTTGGATCTTGATTCTGTACTTCACATCAGTCCTGTGGAGCTGTCATTACCACAATGGCACTGGGTTCTACTGCGCACTAGTATACTGCACTGGTACTGCTGGGCTTGCAGCCCCCCCCCCACTAGAAATCAGTGCTAGAAATCAGTCCTGTTGAGCTGGCATTACCACAATGGAACTGGATTCTGCTGGGCACTCTTTGATTGTGTTGGTACCACTGGGCACTTTGTACATTGCAGTGGTTCTGCTGGGCTTGCAAAAATGCCCACCACTGCCTTCAGTTTCTACTGCACAGATTCTTTGGCTTAACCTTAGTCCTGTTAGATTTGTACTGCCACAGTGGCACTGGTTCTGCTGAGCTTGAAAACATGCAACCCATACCTTCAATTTCTACTGCAGAGATTCTCTGGCTTGACCTTAGTCCTGTTGGGTTTGCAGTGCCACAGTGGCACTGGCTCTGCTGGGCATATTGCACTGGTTCAGCTGGGCTTGCAAAAATGTCCCCCACCTTCAGTTTCTACTGCAGAGATTCTCTGGGACTTTGATTCTGTTCTGCTGGTCTTCTGTTGCTTCCCCCCCCCTTTGCTGTATTTTCTCCATTGGATGATGGGGCACCTTCTTTGGGGGGCCATAAATCAGACCCCATAAATCCAATGCTCACCAAACTTAAAGGGCAGATAGAGGAGATTCAACTGGAGAATCCTTGGAAGTTTGGTTTCTCTAGCTTGCTGGGGGCCACTATACCACATCACAAACCTCATGAACAGAATCAGTTTGGCTCTTAAAAGTTTGTGATGGTTTGTGGTTCACGAACCGGGCACACCATGAACCACAAACTATCACAAACTACATTTTCCCAGTTTGTGCCCATCCCTAATCCAGACATACCTGCTCCTCAACTGCAGCTGGAATTCCACCTTCCAAAAGGATGCCAGATTATGTGAAAAATCTGTTTCAAAATATAGGAATACTTTTACCTTTCGACATCTACATATGCTACCCTCAACAGTTAGCAGTGGATGCTATGTAAAGCAACCATACTCAGAAAGGTTATGCCTGTGGGGCAGTAATTGATTGCTATATCCATTCAGAGTACAGAAATGAGCTGATTATCTTTTTTGAAGATTTGTTCTCTGTGTCAACCCCTGCTAGGGTGATGTGGCTTCTGAGAGACAAAAAAGAAAACACATCACTCTGATCATAGCCAAATTTCTATCAGTTGTGGCTTCTTGTACAGCTGTTCAGAAGCGATAGGTTGATGGAACAGTAATTTTATCATCATCATCACTCTGAATCAAGGAGACTTGGATAACTATTGTCTAGTCTCAAATACACCATTCTTGAGCAAAACAATTGATTCGGTGGTGGTTGGACAACACAAAGATAATTGGGTGAAGCAGATTGTTTAGATCATTTTTGATGGGTTGGCCTGATTTCGGGACTGAAACAGCTTTAGCTGCCCTCGTGAATTACCTAAGCCAGGAGATGGATTGGGAGATCTGATCCTGTTGATTGTCCTGGACCTTTCAGCAGCTTATAATACCAATCATCATGGTATCTTGCTGGACCATCTTTCAGGGTTAGGACTAGGAACTGTCATTCTGTGGTGGTTTCAGTCCTATTTGGAAGGCAGGTTTCAGAGGGTAGTGCTGAAGGACTGCTGCTTG